CAAGGGGGACACAATAAAGGCATCATATACTCAGCATCTGGATGCATTGAAGAAGACTGCTGCAGTAGGAGAGATTGTTAGAAGATTCTCCACCAATGAGAACACATTTACAGTTGGTGGATCGTGCGCTATTGATCACCTGACAAATGTGAAGCTGAAGCTCAACAATCACGGCAAATTAGGTGCTCTCTTACAGCACGAGGTGGTACCAAAATCAATTTTGTCCATCTCGAGTGAGTTTGATACCAAGGCCTTGGAGAAGACTCCAAGGTTCGGTGTGTCACTTGCTCTCAAGCCTTAATTTCATTTTGTTTTTTGACACCACAGCCTTAATTGATTAAAACATTTTTTTCCCCTGTGATAACGTTGAAGCACAATAAGGTTGCAAATACTTTTCAACAGATGTGGGATGACATATAGGGTTTGTTTGATTTAGTGGCCATGGCATGGTCTTGTCCAGTTCTGTTTACTTTTTCCTAATATCCTTTTGTGAGAAAACTGTCTAGCAACAATCTATTCATTGAGCTGTTCCTGGAGTTATGCAAAGTTTGTTTAATTTCCATAGTTCCTTTGAGCTCTCCTCTTTTCTTGAAGCATATAAACTCCCCATGCCATATTTATGTGTTGCTATTATGAATTTCTTTAAATCAGTAACGGATGACTGCGCTTGTAGCATCCTTCCACACCCACATGAACACATATTTCAAGTTGACACGTCACTGTACTGGCCGATTTGATTTCCCAGCAACAGTACTGTATAGCATCCAAGTCTTACATATATGTTCGTTACTATGACTTCAATTTCTTACCAGCTACCAATCACTACGAAATAACCCAATGGGCAAATAGTCCGTAAGATCCCCAGAAGGCCAGAATCACACACTTTACTAGTTAAGAAAAATAAATGCGATGGTGTTTAGGGAGTCCATGAATATCTTAGTTAGCAGCCAACATGGATTATCTATTTATTACCATTCACAACCGAAATATGTATAAATTCACATTACAAGCTGAAAACATTATATTGCCAATTATGTCACACTAGGCTTGAAGCTTAAAAGTGATAAGACAATCTACAATGCATCATAAGAATCCAAGGCTACAGAACCAAACTACTCTCATGTAAAGTCAATCCATCCAAGTTTTTTTTTCAAAAAATGGGTAAAAAATGCATTATAGATTGCCCTAAACTAGTAAAAGAATACAAGAATCATAATACATTAAAGATATCAACTAATAAAACCTCAAGACTTGAAATAATCAACCAAAGTACTCGCCACCTTACTGAAAACAGTTAGGGTGTGTTTGGTTGGTGGGTTTTGCCCATAGGAATGGATATGAAAGTGCTTGTTGTTGTTTGGTTGATAGGTTTTTAGAACACTACTATGGGTTTCAAATACCCCATCAATTGAAAAACCCATACCCAAATACAATAAGGGTTTCATTCCCTTATTCATTCGCAAACACTACTATTAGTAACCATTCCCATTCCACCTTACTACCAAACATGTTAAATATTTTCACCAAAACCCATTACCATTACCAAATATTTGATACCCATACCAATTCCGATTCCTATGTGCGAACCAAACACACCCTTAGTAATAATAGTTCAGAATTTGAGTACAAGCTGAGAAATGAAGTCTCTCTTTTTTTTTGGTGTAAAGAAATGAAGTCTCTGACAATATTCAACAACAGAGATAGATAGTTGAGATCAGAATAAATGATTTTTACAGATACTAAAAAAAATTTAATGGAGACAATTTACTGAAAAAAAAAAAAAAAAAAAAAAAAAAAAAAAAAAAAAACACTTTAAAGGAGACAATTTACAATGAGAATAGATTGTGCAATGGGAGAAGACCAAAGGGAAATAATTTAATTGAGAAAAAGCGGCTTTCGATATTGATGGAAACTAAATTCAGCCAGATAAAGAATGGTTATCTAGAAAGATGCTGACTAAGGTGATGATTTGAAAAACGAAATTGAATTGTGGCAAGGTAACATGTGATGCAAGTATCCTTATCTAACAGAGATTATAATCCTACATCTGATCTTGATTTATAAGACCTAATGAACCAAAAAACCACTCACAATTTACTAGCAACCAGATATACAAAAAAAATCAATTCAAGGAGTGGCAATGGAAGCTCGGGAACTAAAAACTGATATTAGCAAAGGTTCAATAATGTAAGTCCTTAGAAATATTGTAACACACAAAATGCATAGTAAAATCCAAAGAAATGAAAAACATATCAGCTACAATTCTAGAGCTTTCGAATTGACACAAATCACAATTCTATTTCAAGGCAAATCAAGACCTTCACAACTAGTACCAGCAACAGAAGATATGCCTAATTGATTTGCAAGCATAAACACAAACACATATATGTAGCACAGAAGATTATCAACACCAAAATAATACGGTTCAAAACTATTGTCACAATTCGATTAAACTTTAAACCAATATAGAAAGCTGCGAACCAGTTTCAAAGTCTTGCAACAACGCAGGAAGTCTGAATAAGCAAAAATTTAACAATGTAAGATATAGTAGTGATAAAAGTGTACCAAAAACTAACAGACAAGCTCAAAATTAATCAACAGTCTGCATGATGTCGTCGGCGGTGAACTTGGTTCCCTTATCCTTGTCATGGGCGGCGCGGCCCTTAGCCTTGCGTTCGATAAGCGACTTGCGGTCCTTGTCGAGGCGGAGCTTGGTGATAACAACCTTGGAAGGATGGATGCCGACGTTGACAGTGGATCCGTTAACCTTCTCCCGAGTAATGCGCTCAATGTGAATCACCCATTTCTTACGGTAAACCTGAACTACCTTTCCTTCACGGCCCTTGTAAGTCCCGCGAACAACTTGAACCTCGTCGTCCTTCCTCACCGGCATCGACCTCACGTTGTACTTGGTGCGCTGGTCGGCCGACAAGGGCGCGCTCATAAGCACCCTGCGGAGACTAGACGGCGCCGTGAAGTGAGCCTTCCTGCTCTTGCGGCGGGAAGAGGAAACTCTCGGGTTGTACTTCATCTTCGCTGGCGTCTCACTTCTCTCTCTCTGTCTCACTCTTCTGCAACCACGCCCGTTCGAGAAGACGAAGCTAGGGTTTTTCGGTATTTATCTCCAGTTTGAATGAGACGGCCCCTCAGAAAATCCTTGGCCTTTTGGGCTTGTGGGAAATTTAATTGGGCCGTATCCATAACCTGTAAATCGGCCCATGGAAACCCCTTAGGAGCGTTATGCTGTACAACCGTGTGCACCATGCATGGTGCATAGTGTACACGGTTGCAAAACGACGTCGTTTTGACATCCGACTTTAAAAAAAAAAAACAGTTTTGATTATTGTTAACGATGTTATGTTGTGCATAATTTGAATTATATAGTTAATTCATTTTGGATATATAGTTCATTCATTCTGGATATATAATTCATTCATTCTGAATATATAATTCATTCATTCTGGATATATAGTTCATTCATTCTGGATATATAGTTCATTCGTTCTGGATATATAGTTCAAATTATGCACAATATAACGCTGTTACGGTAACTGAAATTGATTTTTTTTTTTAAGCCGGACACGCGTTTTTAATCAAAACGACGCCGTTTTTGCAACCGTGTGCACCATGCAGCACGGCATAATTTGCGAACCCCTTATGCAAATTATATTGTGCACAATGAATATTTATTTTTAGTATATTAAATGTTGATTTTTAATATTGAAAATTATTTTTTGATAGTATAGCTACAAATGAATATTTAATATAATAGAAATGAACCTTATATCAATGATTCATGTTGTAGGGTGGACCATGATCCATTGTATAACCCTTTACCATCCAACAATGCAAATTATATCGTGGATATGGTATACCAAGCATTGATACACATTGTATACTTTGGTCCAAATTGTATACAATTAATATATTATGTACGTTTACTTATATTTTCTACATTTAATAAATATGTTATTTTATCGAAGTGGAAAGGGAGAACCCCATACAAACAGTATTAATTTTCTAGTTAGCGCCATATTAGAATGTCAAATTTATCATCTTCTAAAATATGCAAAAGCTCAAAGGGGGGATCGATGTGAAGTGTAGTGTCCCTTTGACCGCTTGACAACTTTGCAAGGAGATCAGCCACATGGTTTTGGTCCATGGAGATGAGGGTAATGTGCTACACTCCCAGACTTTCGAGCTCCCGTCTGCAGGCTGCAAGACATTATCCGTGATGCTACTAAAGCTGGTCATAGAGGTGAATGCGTCGAAAATGTTCTTCGAATCAATTTCAAAACATGTGTGGCTGCTACTTAGTGATTTTGCAAGCTGGATGCACTTTAGAAGAGCCTATGCTTCTGCTATTTCTTCATGGCAGTCCTGATGCTGTGGCCTAATCCTTTAACCCATTCACCTTAGTCGTTCCTCGCAAGACCAAGACAGTTGGCTTCGTGGGTTAAAGATTGACACTTCCATCAACATTCACTTTGATCCAGCCTGAGGGAGATTTGGTCCATATGATAAGGTTCCATGACCTACTGTTTCCTCGTGGCGTAGCTTTTATTACTCTTTCAAAAGTGATATTAATTTCTGCTTGTTGATGGATCCAATATGTTATTTAAATATACATAATAATTGAATGTATATAATCTTTTAATTGAAATTACATAATATAATAACCAAATACACATAAAGTATACTTTCAAAAAAAAAAAAAAAAAATACACATAAAGTATGATTCAAAATAGACTCATGACCCATGATATAATGATTGGTCCAACAATCGAACGGTTAAAAAAGTGCCAGCTTCCAAGTTCCAATTGGCCAATTATTCACAAGGGGGACCACAAGATACTCACCTGTGATTGGCACACGTAACTGACCAACTCATCAGATAAGTACGTGAAATGAGGGGTCGATTCGTAAAAAGGTGATATTTTGGGGGTCATTTCGAAATAAAAAAATGTCATCTACTCCACCGCAAAATGATTAATCATATCCTAGCTAGCAGGGGAGATGAAATGGCGATGAGTGATGAAAATGGTAGTCCGTAGTATCTTTTTTTGTACGCACATTCACACGTACGTAAGACCCAACCAACCATAAACAGTGACGAACTTTCGTTAAGGAAAAGCGTCGGATTAAACTAACACAGAGAAGAGGAGAGTTCTTCTCTGTGTTGAAAGAGATCTCTCTCTTCTATTCGCGCAATTTTTCACAGATCTCTTCGCCTCTTTTCCGGCCATGGGTCTCTGGGAAGCTTTTCTCAATTGGCTCCGAAGGTGAAGCGATGCTGTTTCTCTCTCTCTCTCTCTATATCGTTTTCCCCTATGATATCTGTGTCTGTATAGCAAAAATGTGTTTTTTTTTTATACAAAAAGTTCAAATTTTGAACCTTTTATGCAGAATTTTTGGTATATGTCTTGTTCCATACTGTAGGATCTGTGCTGCGCTGTCCTGTTCTGTTTCCTTTAAAAAAAATTGGTGAAAAAATTAATTTTCTTGAATTGCATTTTTTTTTAATGGATATGAAGTTGTTGGGTTATTTGAATGACCATATTTTGATTTTTTTTTTTTCACTTATCCAAAAATTAATAGTCGATTTTATTTTTGGTATTGAGAAATATTTGTAATTGTCTTCAATGGCAAGGCTATTGGGGATGAAAGACAAACATAAACTGCAGGCTATGTGTTTGCTTTTGTGCCTGTGAGGCTGTGATATATCAAACCATGTTTAAGAGAGGAATCTTTTGGCTAGTGTGGAACCTAATGGAATTTTATAGATATACACAAAGACTAGAAGTTCACTTTTGACAATTTCCATATAAGCATAAAAGGGGAAAATTAGTTGGATTTTTGAAAGGCAAGGTTAGAACTTCATTCTTAAATTTCAGAGTAATTTAGCCTTGGAGAAAAGCAAGCTCCTAGATAATGGATCATTGGATGGAATGAATGATAGCAGCACTAGTGAGTCAGACATACATTCCATCTCCTGCATAGATATGACTGATCCTTTTTGCCTTATTGGAGCATAAAATAGCTAATATGAGTATGATTCTGCATACCTGTTCTTACCATGAAACAATATATGACTTGTAAAGAATGGTTTGGGCTATCTTCTACTTATCTTTTAGCATTTGGAGGTTCAACGCTTATGTCTCTCTCTGTATGCCCTAAAACTTCCACATGCCCTTGAGGTGGTCAAAATATCGCTCGACCAAAGATACTAATTGTTTGCTAATTGACCAGTCTTTTTTGCTGAGTATTTTTGTTTCTAATTTTAGGCTTGGCCCATATGGTTAGTATTTTTTTTATTCACATTTGTTTTTTCCGTTTACAAGGAAATGTTTTCTTACTAAATTTTTGTACTTATTTAGGTCTTATTATTTCTAGAACTGAATGAGCTTTCAAATTTCATGTTGTTTCAGCCTATTTTTCAAACAGGAGATGGAGCTTTCTCTGATAGGATTGCAAAATGCTGGAAAAACTTCTCTTGTTAATGTTGTTGCTGTAAGTATATAATTAGAGTTTAGAGAGATCACTACATTAGGCTTTTCCCTCGTTTTTCTTCTATATCTGACTGTCATGTGACTATATGAGTTTTGTTGGATCATCATCCTCACCATCAAAATAAAGAAAAAAGTTAGCTTTGTTGGATCTGATGCCTTGACAAATTGGCTCTGACTTGTTTTCATTTGTAGACTGGTGGATATAGTGAAGACATGATACCAACGGTGAGTTTTTTTTTCATATAAGCATTTAACTTCAAGCAATGTCTCACACTTCAAATTGGTCCGTGATAACTTTTGAAAATGAGACTAGATATTGTTTGATATCAGGTAGGATTTAATATGCGGAAGGTGACTAAAGGCAATGTCACTATAAAGTTGTGGGATCTCGGAGGTCAACCAAGATTCCGTAGTATGTGGGAGAGATATTGCCGTGCAGTTTCAGCAATAGTGTATGTATCTCTTCTCCAGCTCTTGTTAATTGTATGACTAATTGCTGTGCTATTATCTGAGTCACTGTAACAGGATAAGACTTTGAGTGATATTATTTTTTCCTTGTCTGGCCTGAAGAGTGTGGTCTTATCATACTTTTCCTTGTCTAGCATGAAGGGTTCATGTGATAATTAATATAACTAATAATTATAATAATTTAAGGCATCAATAGGAGGTATTGTTCTCTAATATTGGTTTAACTGTAATTAATGTTCCCCCTTTTTTGTTGCTTTTCTGAATAATTGTTTCGTGTCAAGATTCTTATGAAATCTGAGGGAAGCATCAGATCAGATTCTTTTAACCTGATGCTTTTCTGCAGTTACGTTGTTGATGCTGCAGACCATGACAACCTCAGCATTTCAAAAAGCGAGCTTCATGACCTTCTGAGCAAACCCTCATTGAGTGGAATTCCACTGCTCGTCCTGGGCAACAAAATCGACAAACCTGGTGCCCTTTCCAAACAGGCTTTGACTGATCAGATGTGAGAGGATGCAATTTGCACACTTTTGTTTTTTGTTTTGTTCTACTTTAAATTCAGAGTTTGGTTCATGTTCTATATTTGTGATTTTGCAGGGGATTGATATCAATAAAAGATCGAGAGGTTTGCTGCTTCATGATATCGTGCAAGAACTCCACCAACATCGACTCAGTTATTGATTGGCTGGTAAAACACTCCAAGTCAAAGAATTGAGGATGAATCTCCTTTCCTGTACTTCTAAGTTAACTGAAATTTGGGTTTTTCTTTCTTTTTTGGTATTCTGCTTGTGCAGTAAATTATGGAGTACTAAATTATTTTCTGTCAATTCAAAAGTGTCAACTGTTTCTGTTCATGAGCTTGTTTATCTTGCCCTGTTCTGCATCAGTGTAACCTGAAGCGTTTGGGTTGTGGAGTATAGATTCGGAACTAAATCTGCTATTATTAGTGTTTGTTTTAAAAGTTTGATCAATATGTTACGACGTAAATCACGACATGTATAAGATAAGAAATTAAAATTGAGTGACGAAGGGGGATTTGGAGGGTAAATCTTGCCTTTACTATTTTAACCAATAAAGAATCATACGGAATTATATCAATAAGTCACTCCCAATAAGAATCTAACTGGTTAAGAGTTGCTTCTGAACTAAACTTACTTTTTTTTTTAATCAATTAGAGCAATCAATTTTAAGTATCAATCAATTTTAAATACCTTAATTCTTACTAAAAGTTTTACTATTCTTTATATTTAAGCATATCTAGTATTTTAAATAAATAATCAAACATTAAAAATAGTCATTAGAGCAACCCCAATGGGGTACTTTCATGATTTTTTGCAAGTTAAAAAATTATAATGGAGTTTTTACACAAATGAAAAGAAAAGTTTTTGACTTTTTTTTTTTTTGACTATTTTTTTCTCCTGCAAAAATAGCTTTTATGTGAGCCCTACATAGAAATAGACGATCTTTCATGCACATTTTTGTACACATGCACCAACTCTGGCGCATAAAAACTGACTTTTGTTATTATTTTGTTTAATTTTTTCGGCTGTCAAAGGATCGTCAGCCTTGTTTTTTAAATTTTCTTTTTCTCTTCCTCCTCTCACTCCTCTTTTCTACTTGGCACACAAAAAACCTAAATAAATGAGGTTGCTCTTATAGTATAACATTAAATTCAGTACCCAACAAGAAAACGTCCATACAATGTTTTAAGGTCACTTTAACATGGCTCGAGAAGATTGATGAAAGAGATTAGGGTTTGAAGAAAACTAAGGATTCACCTACAGGCTACAGCACCAAATAATGAGTGCTACTCTTCAAAGATTCACAAATAGAAAGTATGTATTTACATCCATACAGGCAGGCATATATGAATGTCAAAATGGAAGGTATCTACCTCTATTTCGTGCAGTTGCTCTGTACTGCTTGCACCCGGAAAAAAAAAAAAAAAAAAAAAAAAAAACTTAGAAAACAAGATAATGTATAAGATGGCCTTATTGCTTGATGCCAAAAAAAGTTCATCAATATCTAAAGCTCAGCTACTTTTGTTTCACTTCATCACTTTAACCCCTTTGCTATGGGCAAAAATTTCCAGATTTACAATCCCATCAACATCTATTCACTTCTTCGTCTGAAGATGAATGCTGTTGCACATGCAATGTCCATGTACAGGTTGATATCATCTGCTGCATGAACAAGAGTAATTCAGTGAAGATAGAAATCTCCGGAATTAGGTTTCCTTTGTGTATGTGTAGTGTGTGCGTGTATCTTATTTTAATGTTTTGGATTAGCTGATATCTTGTGATAAGGCCAGATCTCATGAATGTATATAGCTCAGGAGTTAGAGCGGGCAATTTTTAGCATTTCAAGCTTACCTTTGAAGACATAATCAAAAGATTGGTTTTATCAGGCGAGGATAGTCTGAATTCTGAAAGATCAATGCCTTAGACGTTGCTTCGGCCAAGGACTGTGCTGCTTCTGCCTCCGCTTCTGCTTCCTCAGCTTCCCTTGCTGCCTTCTCAGCCTCGGCAATAGCAGCTTCTGCTTCTGCAACAGCTTGTGCTGCAGCTGCCGCAGCCTCTCGTGCAGTCATGTTCTTCATCTTCTCTAGCTCAGCGTCAATCTGTGCTTTAGTCAGTATTCTCGTTGCATTCTTTTCTGGCTTCAGATAATGCATCTGCTTTCCCCCCAGAGGGAATGCAGAGGGCTCCACCTTCATATTAACTGACAATTGCACTCGACTAGGTGGAATCCTGTACTGATGCTTCACCTAGCAGAAGCAAGATAGTTATCAAGATCCAATATTGAAAAACCTAATAACTCTGTTTGCACAGGTAGTCCTATATCCTAATGCTTCTTATCTAAGCAAAGTATACTAAAAAGTTCAGAGCACCACTTTTGCCATTGCACTTTGATGTGAGCCATTTCAATTTTCAACTCAGCAATCATCCATTCTAACCAGCTTAATCTGTAGGGAAATCTAAAAGTAGAGGATCCTAAGCAGTTGACTTATTAGTGCTACAATGACACAACCTAATTATAATTAAAAATAGAGGCCGTCAACAAAAGTAATATCTTACTGCTGGCATGATGAATTATCTCCCCTTGATTAATGAGCTCAAATGGAGAGACTAACTGCTGTTCTTCCATCTATATTTAAGATTGTTTACCTTTACAAGTCTTCCATTTTCTGTCAAGACTTTCAAATTTGCTGCCAACAGCCTTTCCAAGTTTGGAGGTGCTGCATAATGCTCCTACAAGTAATGATTCAACAATAACATTTCAAGGTAAACAATATGCCAAAAAGGCACATGCAAGAGAAAAAATAGAGTAAAATGGAAAATAAGTTCCTTCTAGCTATAAATTTTATCTGTCTCCATCTATTCACAAAAGATTCATCCAACAAAATTCCTTAATAAAATGATTTGTTCCAAAAGACATGTGAAATATCAGCATATTGAAAAAAAAATGCTCATTAAAGAAAAATCAACTATATGAAAAGAGTTATCAGAGCAACTGGAAAGATACATTGACAAACATTCTGCTGCAATATTAGTTTCAACATCAGCACTTGCTCAAAAGATACCTCAATGTACAGAGAAATTGAACTCCGACTAGACCCACGTGGTTCCTTTAGTTTGACTATGGCCTCCAGTATCAGATCATCCAAGCTACATTAAAAAGTTTAAATATTACCATTTGACAAGATTTCAAGAAAAAAATGATATCTATTTTGATTCCTGAACATCTTCACTAAGATTTGAATGTGAACAGCCTGTACCAATGAATACTGAACAGGAAGTACACAAACCTTGATATTGGTTTCTTAGGATGAACAGCCTGCAGTGTTTCACAAGTGGATACAAGGGGCTTAGCATCAAGGACTTCCATATCATTCTCAACCACAGGTATTAGAGCCATAGAATTATCCTCATGCTTGGGGGGTGTGGACTGAGTACCTTTATAAACAATCTTACCCCGCTGCCGAGACCCCCACCCATTTGCCATGACATGAAGATTTCTCCATTTATCCTGCCAAGATCACAAAAGTGCCCATGAAAAAAAAATTAAATTAAACCATTTAGGTTCAAAATGCCCATTTATACCATGAATAGGGAATTTTGAATCTAGTATCCAACACTCCTGCATTATATAGAGCTTAGGGAAGGAACATGTATATAACACTACTTTTGATAGGTTTAGGAATTGAGCCCGTGATTTAGTGGCCAGCAGGCAGCAGGTAAGCACTTAGTCACTACACCAAGTCAAGCCTTCTATAAGATCAATATAAAATTTAACAATTAAGGTTCTTTTCAAGGCAATAAAAGAAACAGGCCAAAAAGCTGCATGCTTAATACCTTAAGGTCCACATTAGAGCGAGTGCACAAAACAGCAGCAAACTCAGGATCTTTGAGTATGGTGCTCCATTTGCCTACTCCATACTTGCTCACACCAGCTTTAAGGGCAGCTTCTTCTTCAGATGTCCATTTCTGCTTTGGGGCACCCATTGATATGTAGATACCCTTCTAGTCTAGAAATAATAAATATATCCTACTTAAAAACACCTTCCACAATAAACCAGAATCTAAAATTATGCCAAAGAAAAGGCTCACCTACTTGGGGGGAAAAATAGTTATCACTTTAACTGTAAGATCCTCTCATGCTAAAAGACCACAGGATTTTAACAGTCTAAAACCCAAGTATGAAGATAGATTCTATATAAAGATGGAACTATGAATCACTCATTCACTCCCAACAACTCCTGCACTAATCATCTAATCATTAGTACTGCCCAACATAATTTACTTTATGTTAACATAGGATTGGCACTTGAAGATAAAGCATCCATATCATAAGCGTATTGACTGTGTTAACTGCTACCCGCAATTCTGTTAAAAACCTGTGACTAGATGAATCTCTACACTGTCACACTGACAAATACCGGTACCATGGGACAGCATTGACAATATTTCTTCAATAATTCTGTTCATTCAATCAAAAGGGTGAATTACAGCAGCTTGAGGAAAATTTGCACAATTAAGGGAATTTAAGCACTAAAAAATAGTCCTCCACGGTTTCTCTCTGTTGCTTCTCTCTTTTATGTGATTATTTGGGGTCCAATTAACGTTCACTTCTTTCAGAATCTTCTAGTCACGGGCTTCAAAAATCAAAATCTATCTCATGAAGAATTCAAGCATTGAACAGGGTCTCAAAGTTGTTTAATTTGTAAATAGGCAATAATATTCAGAAATCGAGTAATTTAGCAATGCATGAAGAGCCACTGAACAAGTACACACACGAGTATAAAAGAATAGAACAATGAATGGTTTCAAAGCTAAAAGTAGCTGAATTTGCACACAGATGATTTCTGCAAATTACTATACCAGAAAAAGGGTGGCGCAGAACGGTTGAGTTTAGCACATAAGGCTTTTGAAGGAAGAGCAAGTAAGAACACGATGAACGATTGAAACCCTAGAAACGATCACGAAGATGAAATTCTGAAACGGTTCTCCCTTTTAGGTTCTGGGCTCCAGAGTCCATAGTATCAGTGAGTCCTTTTTTCATCATTTGGGTAAAGTGGAACGGCCAGAGGACAGTATAGTAAATATTGCTTCAGAAATTTATGGGAATATATTTCGTGGATTCCTGGCTTTAATTATATATTTTTTTTTTAAACCACATTTTTTACCTCTGAATTATTTGACTTTTAAATTATCTTTGTAAGTTATAATTTATATAAAATTAATTCTTTTATTATTCATAACGTTATATTTTTAGTCCTAATATTATATAATTATTATAAAATTTTATTAACATATAAAGTTATTTTTATTATTTACAATCAATATTTATGATTAAAAATAACATTCACATAGAGATAGTAATATTTTAATCATAAATATTGATTCTAAATAATAAAAAATAGTTTCTTCCATCCTTCCTACAACTAGTAATTTGATTAGAAGAAGACTGGAGGTCCCCCAATTTATGCCCTACTTGTGGAGTAATGGAGGAGGATATCATGCACATCTTATGCACTTGCTCATATGCTAGACATGTTTGGAATATTTCACAACTTCAAATTCATAATTTTAATGGTGGTGATTTCATATTGTGGGTGGAGTTATGGTTGGACAGTACAACAACAAATTTATGTGATACTAGATGCCTAGAGGGCAAATATGTGGAATTCTACATGAGATTTGGAGAGCTCAAAATCTAGCCGTTTGGGAGCACCATCTGTCGACCCCAGTTGCCTTGTAGCGTGGCTTCCAGGTTTAATGGTCAGCGTGGACGACAAGCAATGCGTACTGGCCAGCTGCCTCGCACCAGTCGCCTCTCCATCAGATTGCAGCGTCCTTGTCACCCTCTGCCGTGACCTGCTGTGTCAACGCCGCCTTTCACGATCCGTAGCAGGCACTACGTATGGTTTCTTGGTTCGTAGCATAGATGGAACTTTCATTGCAGCGGCTAACGATCCACTCAACTGTCCCCACGATCCCCTCTAGCGGAGGCTATGGCGGTACGCAAGGCCCTTTCATGACTCAAAAATTACGGTTACTCAATTGTCAGGTTCTACTCGGATTGTTCAGTCTTCGTTTAGGGTCTAAGTAGTACATTATCGTTTCATTCATATGTTGGTCTTGTTTTGCTTTCATGTTTGCATTTGATTAATTCTATGTCAGACTGTCAAGTTAGTTTTATTCACAGAGATGCCAATCGAGTAGCTCATGCTCTGGCTAAAGATGTAAGTGCATTTCTGCACGCTCAGCCTGGAGGGATGTTCCTCCACTATTTGTTGACGTTTCCTTGATTTAATGCAATCTACATATTCCGACTTTAAAAAAAAATAGTTTATTGATGAATTTTGATAATATATAATACCAATACTTGAAAGTGCAATATAATAAACAATTAATAAATTAAATTTGTTTAAATCAATTAATATGAACCAACTTTTTAAAATAAGGGTTTGTTTAAAATTTTGAAAATGATTTCTGAAAATTATTTTATAAGTTTTTTTGCGTTTGGATGTGCCTAAAAAATCAAAAAAAAAAAAAAAAAGAACTAAATACATCAAAAAAATTTTCCAAAATACAACAAAACACTGCAAATTGAAATTATTTTATAAAAAATGACTCATTTTTCAAAAAATATTTTTTAAAAGTCATTTTTCTAATTTCCAAACACCACCTAAAATAAATCTATGTCAAAACTCAAAAGTGTTGTTTTCTTAAAATTCTCAAAAAAGGTTGATGCACGTAAGCACGCTATTTAATTAAATTTTCTATGACTAATTTACCCTTCCAGAATGTATGATTTCCCTCTCTATTTTTTCGTCGTCGGAGAAGAAGAGAGATTGATTCATTTTTGCTTAGCGACTGTTCTCGCGTCAGCGAAAAATGGCGAGTAGCACTCTGCAACGATTAGCTAGGCGTTCGCACCAGGCTTATGGAGTCTCGGTGACGCCGCTATCCAGAGCATTCTCTGCTTCTTCCTCGGACTCGTTGGTGGAGATCCAGCGCGGAGAGGTCGGTATGGTCTCCGGTATTCCCCAAGAGCATCTCCGCAGGAAGGTATGCAGCTTCGATCTCCTTTTTATGCGATGCTTCTTGTTTCTGTTCGATTTTGATTTGTGAGCTGGATATCTAGCTGCAATTAGGTTTTCTGATGTCTTAAAAATCGCATCGTTATTGGTTCTAAATAAAAATTCGCGTCTTTATTGATTCTAATTAATAATTCGCGTCTTTATTGATTCTAATGTAGAACATATTGATCAATAATTCGATTTAGCCTCGAATTTTGGTATCTTGTGTGATAAATTCTCTACTTTGGAACTAGACCTGTTTCATCAGCTCTAAAGCCAGTTCTGCGCTGTCCTTAGCTAAAGGATTAAGAATTATAGTGCTTCATGGGTCGTGTTTTATGTGCTCTTTTCATGCTCTATTTCTCCTCAGGGAATAGGCTGTTTGTAATCTTTTGCGGTGAACAATCGTAAAATAGCCTACTCTTAATTTTTTCTCAGTTTTGGTGACATACTGTTGTATACCATACTATGTTGGAAGTTGCTTTTAGCTGTTATTTCCATGGGAAACAACAGTTCAAAACTTCAAATGCTAGAGTAATATTCAACATATATGGCTGTTTGCATGATTATGGGTCCTCTATGGCAGTATGGCTTTTTATTTTATCTATGATCTATGATATGATGCAGGTTATTATTTTCTCACCTGCTCGTACAGCTAGTCAGCAAGGATCTGGAAAAGTTGGAAGATGGAAAATAAATTTTTTGTCAACACAGAAGTAATGCCTCGTTTTCTTCTTTCTGTACTTCTTTACTAGTAATGTCCTATTTTAGTTGTTGATTATGGACTATGGCAGCATCAATTTTCAGCTTCTGAATGTCTATAAAAACTGCTTTCTATGTGTAGATGGGAAAATCCACTGATGGGCTGGACATCCACAGGGGACCCATATGCGAATGTTGGTGATGCTGCGCTTACTTTTGACAGTGAAGAAGCTGCAAAAGCATTTGCTGAAAGACATGGCTGGGAGTATACGGTACTAAATATGGTTTCTTTATACCTCAGTAGTTCTGTATTTCTGCTTGTCTCTTTTTATTGATCATTTTGTGTGCTCCTTACAATCCTCACACAATTATAAACTAGTGACAAATCATAATAAGCCATGATAAATGCTAATACAGTCTTCACTTCTCCATCCATACATTCAAGTCATAGCATCCATGCCCATTTAAACTCCTCCAAGTATAATATTCTCACTCAATAGGTATTTCCTGAACAAACTCATAAAAATCATCACAAAGCAGTCTTAATTTCATAGCAATTCAACTTGAAATCATCTCAAAACTGTCTTAGACCTCATCAAAGTCCAAACTCATAATAATCATCACAGACCTCATAACTAACTTGATAGCTGCCATCCTATCTCCAATCCTCTTAACATCCCTGGCTTTGTCCTTTAGTGACTTGACCACAAAATTTCCAATTTTGTTCCTTGATTTGCCTTCTGCCACACTCCATAATTGAACTCCATCCGGACTAGCTTCTGTGCCTGCAAGCATCCATTGGATGAGAACCCTTGTTCTTGTTTGTTGGACCTAAAGACCTCATTGCACACAACTGTCCATAGTGTAGCACCTCAGCCAACTTTTCATTTTGCTTGAATGTTGATAAGATTCTACGCACACAAAATTAGTATGAGTTGCTTATCAGTTTCTCCATTTTGCCTTCTCTTTTTACTCTTTCTGAATGAGATCCTCTTTTTGGCCATGTTGGTACTTGATAGTATTAGTTATGTATTTGATGTTAACAAACTCTTTTCTTGATCTGTTGAGTAAAGAATGTGCTGTTTTGATAGTAATTCTGTTTCTGTATCTTCTGACCTACAGGTGAAGAAGCCTCACACACCATTGTTAAAGGTTTGAAAGTGTCTCCTGTCACTGTTCATGCATTTTGTAGAAAATATTTCATAGTTTGATGGTGTTTCCTCTAATAATTCATTTTATCTTTTGTTTTCTGCAGATCAAATCCTATGCAGACAATTTCAAGTGGAAGGGCCCTCCTAAAACAGAAGGATGAATTATTTCTATTCTTGCTCTCTTGAAGTTCTAACCCTTTGGGTCCATAAATTACTACAGCCTTTGGATCCTGTTTGTTTACCTTTTGAAGTCTCAATGCACTATCCTCAGGACTAAACCCAAGATTCTGTTAATAAATCGAACAGAGTTTTTTGAATAAATTCCTTTGGGATTTATGTATCAATCCGCAGAAGATTGTGTTTGCTATTGGTTGAACACATCAACATAATGTTTTAAAGGGGAGTTTGTCAACTCTTTTTGTGCCCTTTAGACTGTGATTACTTTAATTCTCTGTTTTTCTTTCTTCAATTTTTCATTTCAAATAACTTTCTGACTAATGAACACATTCTTAAATTCTGCAATATCTATTATTGGTTAATTATAATTATTCTGATTTGTATATGTTTCGAATACCTTTGATTTATGGACAAGCCTGTATTTGCTACCCAATGCATTCCAGGTAAAGCTTGCTTAATGACTTTAACCAATAAAGGATAAGGGTAAATTACCTATAGTGACTAACTCACTCAAATCAAGAAAGTTAAAATTTTTACAAAATGTTAAAATTGAAATCTTGTAATTAACAAATTAAGTGAATCTATTCAAGACAAAATCAAAGGAATAATTGATGGCACCTCTGTTACTCTGTGGATCGAACTTTGATAATGGGGTGGGGTATTAACTCTTTGAGATAAAGAAACTATAGAACAATACTATTTTGTAATAGAGTCAATAGGACACAAAAAATCACAATTGTTTCATATCCAAACATATTATTTGGCAAGACATGAATTTTTATCTCATGCCCAACCTCTGCATTTTGGCATCTTGTGTTCTATCTCCTTGAACATTACGTCTTCTTAATTCAGCTTCTCAGTTACAGAGACACTGCTACAAGCTTTAGCTCACAGTACAGCCAATTATGTGGGCATAATAATCCTCTATTTTGCTCTTACGCAATAACACTACCAAAGCGAATACCGCTCCTATCAGGCTGCAGCTTCTTCATGTAATATTTTGATCCACGTGAAAGGTTGATTTTTTTCCTTCTCTCCACTGGTAACTGATCAATGGAACATTCTGAAAAGCCACGCCTTATAAACCTGTCAAAGAGAAATTATACAGAAGTACATTAAAGCTCAGCAAATAAATGTCTCGTTCGTGCAAGTTGTTGATTCTAAATATGCCATGGTTATGTGCTTGTTTAACCCAATGGGGCATTGGAGATTATCTACTTCAAACAAAAACCAAAAGTTAGGTTGAACGGTAACAGGAGAAAAAACCTTTAAAAGCTAGATAAAAGACTAAAAACCTCCATTTTTCTTTTTTCAATCCCCAAAGTTGAGGCTTTTCAAGAAACTTTTTTTTTTTTTCAAGAAGCTCTAGTTGAGCCAAACAAACACTAAAAAAGAAAAAAGAATAAACTTATGTGAACATGTTGCAACTACAATGACTTACGGTTGAACTTGCTATATTTTATTGCGTTTAGATGGGTATTGGGTAGTACATTAGGGAAAAGAAAATGGGATAAGATGAGAGGGCGAAAAATTGGAGATAAAGGAAAAACAAGAAAAAAAAATTGCGTTTGGATAAGAAAAAAGGAAAGGGGAGGAGTGAAAAATTGGGGTGGCCTGGTGCATGTGTTGGGAAATAGAAAAGCTAGGTTCAATGTATAGTGTTGAGAAAGGGGAGCACATTTCTACTATTTTTGATAGGAGGTTTTTTTCTCCCCTCATTTACAAAATACTGAAAAGGAGAATAAAATATTCTGTTGCAATTTCTTTCCTTTACATTTGCATTCCTCCCATTTTCCACACATCCAAACAATAGCATTAGTGTTAGGTGATCTATGGCCCACTAATTCTCTAATACAGATGAATGAATTTGCTGCCAGGTTGTTTGTTTTCAAAGCAGACAGTAATTCATTAATTTGTATGTGAGATGCTATTAGACGGAGGTGTTGGAACCCATACCAGTCTGCTGTTCGAGTTGTAAGGAGAAACAGCTTTTGAATCCCATGGGAAGATGCCTTCTTTTCAATGTAATCTGCATATATTCAATATATAAAGCCAGTTGTTAAAGTCTACACAGTCGCAATCCATCATTATCATCTCACTAACATTGACTTATTGAGTAAGAAGATATCTTGAGTAACATTATTGGTGAAATTTGTCAAGGATGCCAGTAATTTGTTTTGAGTTAATCTTTTTGAAGTTGGAATTACAAGAAGGCCCTTCACTGAATGACTAATTGACCATAATAGTTAAACCATGGTTCACATGCATCCGGTACTTGGAGGCTTGAAGGGTTTTGAGTTTCGACATGAAAGAACTATCTTTTATACATACCAAGTAATTTGTCTCCTTGTCCTTGACCTCGACAATCAGGAGAAACAGCAATAGAAGCAACCTCTCCACATTTTTCTTTTAAGTATGGAAAGAGAGCAGCACAAGCTATAATTTGACCCTCTCTTTCCACAACAATGAATGAATCCAAGGCCTCAAGAAGCTGGAATTAAATAACACAAATAAAACCATTTTTTTGAAAGGGATTATAAGAGAAAAGAAATTAACCAAAAGAACAAAACTTAAATGACAACTAAACAAAGTACCAGTAGCAAGCACCTAAGAATTACCTCTACCTCAGTCCTCCTGATCAATGTTCCAAACTCTTCTAAAGGTTGCAATATTTGTTTTATTCCAGGAATATCTGTTGCCCTTGCCATTCGTGTTCCTTCATAAAGGTCACTAACAAAAACATCCATAGCTTAAAATTAGTCTGGCTATAGATAATATTTTATTTTATTTAAATATACAAATGATCTCAAAAGCACACCTTACTTGTGCTCTAAAGTATGAAGTACTAATGTGAACATCAGTCTGGCTATAGATAATATTTTATTTAAATTCTCATGAATTTCAGTAACCAAATATGCATATAGATATAGAAACACTGGTTGCTGTCTGCTAAATTTGGGGATTCAAATCTGAAAACTAAGAAACAACATAGAAGCATTTCAGCACATGATTTCATCAAATGGCTCCATACCTAGCCACCATTGTACCAACTCCATCTCTTTGGAACAACTCCTTCAATAAAACGCCACCAATGGTGCCATCTAACAGATGAACTCTTTGAACACCTCCCTAAAGAAAAATCAAGATAAAACGATCATAAAGGTTTTAACCTGGTAGCATTCATTCTAACAACTAAGGTCACAATGCACTCACTATGTATAGGCAAACACATTTAACATGGTATGTTTTAATGCAACATATTTTGGTCAAAGAAAATGTCACAACTAAGCAATTGCAAGAATATTAAAACTAGTAGGAAAATTTTTGTTATGAATTTGCAAATTTTGGTGTTCTTTTGGACCCTGAGGGTGGGAGGAGGAAAGTAGTGGCTCACTCTGCAAACAAAAGCTGCAGCAGCTAATTCTGAAAGGTAACCATATAGTCGACTTAGCCTCTCTTGTCCTCCAATAGCAAAACCTTGTTCACCAGACCAAAGTCCATTCCCATTGTCAAACCCAACACCATTCTGGAATGTGGCATTATATCTATGGCTAAATCCATTCCCATTTTGAGAAAGCACTGATCCATTTGAAGCTTTATAGCCTAAAGAAGATAGTTCTTCATGACTGACAGCTTTCACATAAGTTGCCGCCGTTTCACTTTGTTCAGCTCTTTTACGAACCAGCATGTCAGCATCCTGAAGAGTTAAGAAACGAATAAGACGCCCAGATTCATCTAAAATTGGACCATCGATAATGCAAATTAGTTTCTCTGCACCAAGGGCCACGGCACAGGCTGTAGCAACTTCATATGTGCTGCAATGAAGTATACAAAACAGCATTAGATCATCCGAATAAATACCATATAGTAACTAACCTAGATGAAAAAAATACTCGTATAGTTTTTGTTGCTAAATTATCACACATTTACTATATCTATGTGCAGATTATATATATATATATATATATATATATATATATATATATATATATATACACACACACACACACACACACACTTTGCATCAAATTTGTATCAGAGAATGCATGCTGCAAATACAAACTCACTTTGAAACTTGTCAAGTCTCACAAAAGATCAAAACATGGTTAAGAAAATAAAAGGAGTCCGTGTACCCACAAACAACTTGCTATAGCTGTGATAACCATGTTGTGGAGTGTGGATTAACCTTTGAGATTCATTGTACTTGGTTCTTTCTGTGCTTAAAGAAACATTAATCACGTTTCATGGCCTCAAAAAGCAAAATGCAATACTAAAGCTGGTAGTTAATGTTACTAACTGAATTATTTGTAACAGCCAGTACTTATCTGGTTTCAGGCATCAGTTGTTGACACTAACTGAAGTAAAACTGAAGCAGATAAGTTCATGCAAAGTGACAACAAAGATACCTATTAAAAGCCTATAGCCATATAGCATACTTGCAATTTAATACTTGTCCAGAACTTGAATAACCAAGATTGCTAATTAACACAATGCAGTCTTGATCAAGCCTCTCACGTATCCGAGAGACATCAATCTTCTTCACTTCACCAGTAGACCCATAATCAATTCCCTCAACAACTCCCCTTCTCTGCCAAAAAGCATAATAAAAGACACAAGTTAACTATCATAGAGTATATCGAAAAGGGCATAAAGTTGAAATTTATTAGTTGATTTGATGAAGTAATTAGTGGTACAAAGCTAAGAAGCACACAAAAATGCACTGAAATCCATGAACTGAATATGAAGTTCACACCTTAGCTGCTAGAAAATTACCGCTGGTGACACTGACACCATCATACCAGCGACTATTGTCTCCATGTCGACGGACACCACTCAAGGAAGGCCCAGGTGACAACTTTGCCTCTAACAGTATCCGAATTCTGCCAGCAGCATCCATTGCTGCCTCGAGGGAATCAGCATCTGTGATTCTATAGCGACCTACATACTTCGGTTCACTTCCTGCTAGGAAATTCACAAAATCCTGAGAATTCTAATTTAAAATGAGGAACAAGACTAAACTGGAACTACATAATGTTTGCAAGAATTGCAATTCTGCAAGCACCTTAAGAGTCCATAAAACCTGAAGTCAAAAGGTCTCCACAAGAACACTTAATAATCTACCTTTAAGAGAATCTCCCACCCCTCTGCCCCACCAAGAAAATCACAAGGTAAGCATCAGGTGAAGTAAATAATGTTGCCCTTGTGGACAGTAATTTAAGAGAAGCAAACAAAAATTTTCATCTTTCCAAGATCAGGACACTGATAGCTGGAGATTAGATATGTTAGAAAAACATGAGAGGATAGATGAAGAAACTGAAAAGATAATGAAGCAGTGAAACTCACCACGCTCAGACAGAAGCCTATCAATCTGCACATGGGTCCCTGGCACAAGAACGAATTTGATTCCCAAGCCATGAAGGAGAGAAATATCCTGTGTAAACATCCATCTTAATTTGGTAAGGACAAGTTAAAATCAGTTCAAAACCAGAGAAGATTGGCATACTAGCATAAATCATAAATGTCATTGCCGAACAACTGAAACTAACTCAAACAAACACTGTAAACTCAAATTATGCAAGCAATACACATGAAGAGTATGTATAGAAATGAAAATAAGAACAGGGCAGAGCAGAAACGTGCCATGAGAAGAGCATTCAATTGAGGACTATCAACAATCTCAGCAGAAATGAGCACAACAAAAGTGCTGCCTCGGTGTGCACGAAAATAAGGCCAAGCTTCCCGGAAAAACCTAATAAAAAGCTCATCCTTTAGGGCACTGCTGGCTTCAATACTCTCACTTCCCGTCTCCCCGAATGCATCGCACTGAGCCGATACATTCTTCGACCTATACCTACTCGAAGATGAAGGATTTGGTGAACGAAATTGGACTTGTAGCCGTCGCAAATCAAAATAGCTTCGAAACCGAGGAGTCCAAATAGTTGTGTGGGAGAAAGTCCTCCGATTCCGGCATAGTCCAGGAAAGCATAGACTTTGAGACGTAGTGGCCATGGAAATTGGTGCTCCAGATAGCACCGTATAGACTCTCTTCTAGTTCTAGGTTATAGCCTTTTGCCGGCTGCGGAACAAGAGAAGAGAAGAAAAGAAAACAACCGGCGTCGGCGGCGAGGAATGCGGTCAGAGATGAACGCTGGCGGCTATTCCGTCTAAAGCAGTTCGTTTTTATTTGGTATAATTTTCAAATAAATACTTATATACTCCCTACACCCTACTCCCTCCCACTCATATTATTACACCATTTTATATACTCTGTTTTGGTTTTGTTTTTTTAGTATTGCTGACTAAATTACATTATAGTATCTGTTCATATCTATAGTCTCAATCTATTGAAGTATAAACGAATAATACGAACTCATGACTTCTCATTTGACAGAATCACCAGACCACAAGGTCATTAACACTTTATTTTGGTTTAATTTCTAAAAAAAACTGTAATATCGATCTATACATACTTTTTTAACATGTGACATTCTATTTAGAAGAGCCACAATAATACAGCTCAACCACAAAGTATTTGTCAAATAATTTACAACTTAAACTTGCATATTTTAAATGTTTATTTTAATTAGTCATTGACTTTTAATTTGGACACTTTAGAAATATGAAGAATAATACATAGGTAGGTGAAAGGACGAGTTTACCCCTTCATTTAAAGTCTAATGAGTCGTATTCTAACGAAAGGACCTCAATTGGAAAGAAATTGAAAGTCAAAGGACCTAAAGTGTCCAAATTAAAAGTCGGGGACTAATTTTGAAAAACCATTATAGTCGGGGACCATTGCTGGAATTAACTCTTTTTTAAAAATTATTTAAATATAATTTACCATTTTTTTGGTTAACAAGTAGGTAAAAGGGTACCACCCTCAATTATGCTGTGTGATGTCATAATGTGAGAAGGGGTCCCATTTTAAAATATCTTCATTTCTAAAAAATTAAAAAAAATAAGGGTCAAATAGGCCATCGAACTGCACAAAATAAATTAGGCTACTGAACTTAAAAAATCAACAATCGGATTCCTAAACTAACCAATTTCAAACAAATCTTCCAATTTGTAAATTTCCAACATGTTAACAAGTCATCCTCCCAAATTAATTATTTTTTAAAAAATAAAATTTAAAAATTAATTATTTAAGTAATAAAAAAAAAACAGAAATGGTCCGGCCGTTTTTGTTTTTTTTTTTTTTAATTTTAATAATTAATTTTTAAATTTTATTTTTAAAAAAATAATTAAGTTGGTTGTTGACCTGTTAGAAACCTTCAAACTGGATGAATTATTAAAAATTGGTTAGTTTAGGGACTTAATTGTTGATTTTTTGAATTCAGTGACCTAATTATATTATCAAGTGCAGTTCGATAGCCTATTTGATCCTTATTTCAATTAAAAATTTAAAAATTGCAACCATAACCACCAACAACAACAATAATAATAATAATAATAAATTAATATTGATTTGACTTTACGTTGAAAAAGTAATGGAGGAAAAATGCGGAATACCTCGAGTATGGAAGACAAGTGTGGACTATCGACGATCTCGGCAGAGAGAACAACGGCAAATGTACTGCCTCTGTGCGCCGCGAAGTACGGCTCCGCCTCTCTCATCACCCTCACGAACAGATCATCGCCGTCGACACCTCTCTTCTCCGGCGACGGCGACGGCGACGAACAACCAACCCCGCCGCCACAGCACCTCAGTTTCAACGGAGACCCCGCCGCACCTGTTTTCCTCCAGACCAAAGAGCTCCCCAACCGCGACACCAGGTGGTCTTCTCGCCGCACAGAGAACCAACAGCTTTGTTTCGCCGCAGCCGCCGCCATACACTGTACTGTCGTCGCAGCACAATAATTCGGTGCGTTGTACGTACGGCGAGAAATTGAGAATGCTCCTCGGAGACGCGGCGATGCGTAGGCGTTTACGTCCTCAGACCCAACCAAACACCGAGAAACACATGTAAATGTAAGCCAAAGACAAACGGTGAATCTCCATATATAACTACGTGTTATTTATTTGTGCATCGCAGGTGGCTTCTTGGGCGGGCCGGGCTCGGCAATATAATATGGATATAGGGACGGTATTCTTGGGGAAATTCAGAATCAATCGAGGTGCGAATGGACACAAAGTGAAACACTGACTACACGAGATCACTGTGTATATGAATAATTTATTGATACACTAATAATGCCATATCATTATCGGACGAAATTGACTAAAAAAAATAAACTCACCTAAATATAAAAACAAAAAATTCGATCAGTATAAATTAAGAAGACAAAAACCAATAAATATAATCATTCTTATTAATAATGAAATTTGAAATTTTGTGGGTGTTAAGCTAATTAACAGTTTAATCAATTTGACTGAAAGATTGTAATTTTCGATCGAGTTAGTAAATGTATTAGTACGCAATGATAATACCATGAAGAGCTAGAAAGGTAGGAGTGGATGAGTATTATTGGGTTGGCCCTTGGTGGAATGGTATGGACCAAGAATCATGTTTTTCACATCTTACGTTGGATGTGGGCGGGAATTATGGTCATACCATCTCCACCAACCATTCATTAATAGATTATACGTAGGCCATATCAACTATGAGAAATGGCATATTTCATCTTTAGATGCTGTTCGATCGGATTGCATTATTTAGGAGGAATATTCAATGAATCAGTAATGTTATTTTGGGTGGTTGGTGTTACGTTGCGTTTTACGTGGATTATGAAGATATGATGACTTATGTATCATTCTAGCTGAATGAAAAAGGAAATTTGTTGATTATTGAGATTTAATACGAAATTGATTCGAGATCAAGATCAATTTGTAACTTGTAGGGTGAATATATATTATTGTACGTTTGTAATCTTTTAAATTAGGAATAAGGGTCAAATAAGCCACTTAATTGCGCACTAAATTACAATTAGGTCATCAAACTAAAAAAGAATGTAATTGGGTCCCTAAACAATGCAAACTAATGCAATTCAATCCAAAATGACTTGTTACCTGAAAACATAGGTTACTAAATTTAAAAATATTTATTTTAATAATCTTAAATAAAATAATAATTATAATTTATAATTTTTTTTTAAAAAAAAAAAACTCATTCGTCTCCGCGGAGACAAAGGGCAGAGTTCGTCTCAGGCCGTCTCCAAGGCCGGGGAGACGGCCCAAGATGAAGCCGCCCCTTCGTCTCCGCCGGAGACGAAGTGGCAGGCGACATCTCAGGTCGTCTCCCCGGCCATGGAGACGGCCTGAAACGAATGTGGCTTCGTCTCAGGGCGACTCCATGGTCGGGGAGACGGCCAAGACGAAGCCACCCCTTCGTCTCCACCGGAGACGAAGTGGCAGGCGACATCTCAGGCCGTCTCCCCGGCCATGGAGACGACCTGAGATGTCGCCTGCCTTCGTCTCCGTCGGAGACGAAGGAGTGTTTTTTTTTTTTTTTTTTTTTTTTTTTTTTTTTTTTGTAATTATAATTATAATTATTATTTTATTTAAAATTATTAAAAAAAAATATTTTTAAATTTGGTAATCTATGTTTCAGGTAAACAAGTCATTTTGGATTGAATTGCATTAGTTTGCGTTGTTCAATGACCTAATTGCATTCATTTTTAGTTCAATGACCCAATTGCAATGTGGTGCGTAGTTGAGTGACCTATTTGACCCTTATTCCTTTAAATTATATTGGAATAAAGGTCAAATAGGCCATCTGCACACGAGAATGCAATTAGGCCACTGAACCTAAAATTAGGTCCCTAAAATAACATATTTCATTCAACTTGTCCATTTTGTAGGTTTCTTAAGTTTCTAAAAAGTTAATTACCCCTCCACCTAGGATGCATATGTGGCATTTTTTAAAATTATTTTTTTAAAAATTATTTTTTAATATTTAATAAATAAAAACTAAAATAATTTGTTTTTTTTTTTTAAATAAAATAATTTGTTAATTTTTTTAAAAATTCACAAATCACCAATACAAATTAATTATTTTAAAATTCAAAAATCACCAATAACGATAGTTTTGATTAAATAATTTGTTGATTTTTTAAATTTCTTTACTGATTATTCTTTATTGCTAATAATACTAATACTGCTTCTTTTTAAAAAAAAAAACAATAAATTATATTACTGCTAATACTAATACTAAAACTATTAATAATGGTTTTGTTTAATAATATGATACATTTACTAATAGTATTACTGCTTTGTAATATATTGCTTTTACTGTTTTATTTCCCTGTGTAATATGCTTTGGCCAGGAACAAATAAAAAAATCAACAAATTGTTTAATAGAAACTATCGTGATTTGGTGATTTTCAAATTTTAAAATAATTAGTTTGTATTGGTGATTTGCGAATTTTAAACAAATTAACAAAATATTTTATTTAAAAAAATAAAATTATTTTAGTTTTTATTTATTAAACATTAAAAAACTAATTTAAAAATAAATAATTTTTTTAAAATGCCACATATGCATCTTAGGTGGATGGACACCTGTTAGAAACCTGTAAAATGGACAAATTGAATGAAATCGGTTAGTTTAGGGATTTAATTGTAGGTTTTTTAAGTTCGGTTGCGTAATTGCACTTTCGTGTGCAGTTTAGGGACCCTTATTCCAATTATATTTGTTAGGTAGGTCTAAAGAACACGCATCGATGTGCTCGATGACGAGACGAGTATCTCAGCTTTAGCTATAGTATTTAGCCCAATGAGGTCCTCAACGTTACGTTGGTCCAAGACAGCAATTTGAGCCATGCATGCTTTCATGTAGGTGCGGACATTCGATTTGGGACAAGGTACCATGTGATGTAAGGAATCTTTGACTATATATATTATGGAATTCAACATCATTTATGGAAATCATGTATAGAAAAACTCCGATCTATGCTTTAGGAAGCTAGGCATTCTTTATGCAAAGAGTGGATGGATTTACTAAATTTGTATAGTAGAATTTTAAGAATTTGATTTCAGTTGACATTTAAGGCTCATAAATAAATATATAAAATCCAGGAAGAAGTTAGAAAGGAAGGACATGCAATCACTTTCATACTGAACAATTTACGTACATTATTGTTCTTTAATTCTACCGATCCTTTACCATTTTTGCGGTTTCATTTTGAATTTATGTTAATATGTCCCTTAGTTGCTATACTAATATAAAAAATAATAATTTATTAAAATATACGGAGTAGTTACTCATTAATGTATGATTGACAATTTTAACTTCAATCTTACAAGTAACAATGTTACGTTGTGTGTAATCTTACAATTATCTAAGAAGATAAATGCAAAGTACTTACAATTTTTGTTATAATAATAAGATAAAAAGAGTTTGTTGAAACCCTAAATCCACATGGAATTTGAATTACTTTTACGGCCATAGATTAATTAACGCAACTTCATTCAAAATAATAATAAACAAATACGAGTAACGAAAACCAAACACCTTGTGCTCAAATGACATTTATGTGGCTCTCCTTGAGAGAAAGTCACATGATCGAACCTATTATGCAATAGATAGAGAAAATATACAATAGATTCTGCTATGAGTAACGGAAGGCCAATAATTTCGAAAAAATGATTTATAGAAGACTTTGAACTCTAACAGAAGGCCAATAATTACGAACAATTAATTTATGGAAGACTTTGAAGTTTAAGCAAATATATTAAGTGATACTTCTCTCCCGGTAACCTTCTCAAATTTTGATTTGATTTTGATGTGATAAAAAATATTTGTAATTAAAATATTTGATGGGATTTTAAATTGACTATGAATTGAAATGAAAACTTGTGAGTTATCATATATGTAACCACCGAATTAAATACGGTTATGCCATAGCTATAAGCTATGGTGGCGAGACATTTGTGGGGCAGTGCATGCCGTGATAATATTAGGCAACATGATTAGGGTGGCATGCCCTATCCCTTCGCCAATCGCCAGTGCCGTGATAATATTACCCCTAAATCCAAATCTACGTGACATTGATTTCGCGATGTCGTGTGAATTCTTCTTTCTCCTTTTTTTTTTTTTTTTTAAACTTTATTTTTATATAATAGTTCACAAATCACACATAAGAGTTAAACTGCCGTTGGTCTTGAGAGTATAAAAGTAGAGTAGAGGGGGTGTTTGAATAGATTATTATTATTTAAAAGAAAAAATTAACTTGAAAGATTTACAAATAATTTCGTAAAAGTTGTTGGGTTAAGCTTCCCTTTTATGTGTGTTAAATAGCTCATTTTGAACCAAGTCTATTTATATCTACTATAATATATTAATATTTGTTAGCTTCTTGAAGAAGCAATTGTCATTGGAAGTGAGAAATGGGTAGAAGATGGAAAAGAGATTGTTTGGACAGAAGTTGAAAGGAAGAAATTTGGAGAAGTAATGTTTGGGCAAAGGCTTATGGGAAGAGGTTGAGAAATCATTTTCTCTTTTCTTACAATTCCCATTTCGGCTGCCAGCTCTATAGAAAGGGGAAATTCATTGTTTCTTCACACCACATACATAGCCACTTCTACACACCACTACATATACGCATTTTCGGCAGTAGAAAGAGAAAGAAGAAAGTTCATTTTTCTTTCTTATCTCTTTATTTGGCAATGCATTCCTCCTTCTTCATTTTTTGATACATCTTGCCGTGAGTTTGTCCAAGTTCTTGGGGTACAATCTTCATCATTTTGAGTTCAACTTGTATTTATTTCAGGTATTTTTTGGATAATCTCATACTATTATATTTATTTTATTTTGTTTGTTGAATATTTTGAGTACGGAATTTTATTCTTTTTTGGCCTGTGAATGTGATAGAATGTATTTGCCGAGTTGTTGTATTTGAAGATTTTTGGATGTTTGGCTTGTGTGGTAGTCAGAAACTTTGTGCCCAAGATATGTTATAGTAGAATATTTTGTTGGTGGTGGTCCATGATTTTGAGATTTTCCACATAAATTGTGTGTCCCTTGTATTCATATTTATTTTGGTTACTAGTATTTTTTATGCGCGATGCGCAAAAAATATGTGCCCAATATTAATACATTATATTAAAATTTTAAATTTATTTAGATTTTAGATATTCAAATTATTCTAAATAATAATAATAATAATGTAAATCATTTTTATAAATTTAATATTTATATTTATGTAATAATTAGCATATAACTCAAATATTTAATGTGTATATATTATTATTAATGAAGAAGATAAGAAAATATATGGTGGATGCATGTGTATGGTAACAATAGTGGAAAAGATAACGAAAGTTATAACGGTAGGGATATGTTTGTCTAAAATATTTTAATGTACAACCTTTATAGCATAATGTACAAAAAAAACTTAACGGAAAAAACGGACATAAATCAAGGGTATAACTTACATTCAAACTTATTATGTTTTTAGATTTTGTATCATCCCGTATTTGTGCTCTTGTCGATTCTGTGAGTTTTCGTTGTCACAGTAAGTGCGACTTTTCCCAACAAAAGTAATATTAAAAACATATTTTAAGAACATAGTGTATTACTAGCTGACTTGCTAGTAACATGTAGCGGAAGACTAAAAAGATTTGTAGCGCGGTTTTGGTTTAAAGAATTAGCTGACCAAGTCAGCTGAAAACAACGTGGTAAGGTGTACATATGTCACTGATTCAATCAATTAGATAAGCAATGTGGTAAGTGTACACTGATTCAATTAACTAGATAAGCAACGTGATAAGTGTATGTCACTGATTCAATCAGCCAGATATGCAAAGTAAAGTGTTGGAAATGTAAAGTGCATAACTTAAAGAGATAGAGACAGATTTTTATAGTGGTTCGACAACTGACTACACCACTCTTCTCCTTAACTTCTAAGAAAGTTCCACTAATATTCGGCGAAAATACAAGTGGAAAGCTATTGCGCAGTGTATCCACAAAGCACTGCTAGCAAGGGTGATGCTCCTTCGATCTGGACGTCCCCTCCAACGATCTTTAGCACCTGGTTCTCTACTCCAAGGGTCAATCACTAAGTCGCCTTGAGCAGTTGAGCATAAAAGCCTCCAACACCAACACAAAGATTGGATTGGTTTGTTTCTTTTCACAAACGGGTGGACGTGAAACTAAGTGTTCACTAGAAAGCTCTAAGTTGTTTCTATATCTGTCAATGAAGCTCCGTTTCTATTTTACACTTAAATCTTTTTTAAAGTTCTCAACCTTTGCACTGTAATCTAAATTATTCTCAACTTCTTATTCATAGTTCTAGAGTCCTCTATTTATAGCATAGAAAAGAGGGTAAACTTGTAATTCTTTTGAAATTCGAATCTGACCATTGCCTCCCGTTGTGACGGGTGTCCAATTTTGCCACAGCACTCCAAAATGTCCTTGTATTTAATGATATTTAAACTATTTTGTTGATAAAGGATAAAAAATGATCATACCACAATAATACTAGGATAAAAAGTGGGTGTTTTGATAAAAACGAACTTAGAGTGGACTACCATCCACCTATAAATATAGAACCAAAAATGAAATTAATTCAAAAATTAATTTACAAAAATTACGAGTCTTTTTAAATTAAGCTAAGCTAACATCATTGTTTTCTTTCCTACATGTATATAAGATATCAAGATTTCATAGCTATGCAGTCCAGCCTGCAATGTATTGATGTTATTTTGTAATTATTATAAGTATAATATAGACGTTCCCTTCCTCTATAGATTTGTGGGATAAAAAATTTGTAAGTAATTGTAGAGATATGGTAGTGAAGTTTTACTCTTGAAAATTTCTGAACAGTTGGCGTTGCTTTTTATGTGGATCATGAGGATATGATGGCTTATGCATCATTCCAAGTGACGAAAGAAATTTGTTTAAAGTGATTTGAGCCAAAACTAATATGAGGTCAATTTGTAACTCGCATGATGCATATTATGTGTAATTTTATTATTGTGTAGATTTGAAGAGAACCCCTAGACCCAATGAAATCGTGGACTCGGGTGAAATGGATTGTAATGCATTGTAATAGAGTCAGTAGCATTAAAAAAAAAAAAATTATGTACCAAATTTGTATAGTAGACCTTTAAAGAAATTTGTATTCATGGCTTATAAGCCCTCATCATGAAAATGGAGGGAAAATAACAAACAATCAATTTTGTTTAGTATCATTTTTGGTTTTGTTTTGTTTTTCTTTTTTTTTACAAAGGAAGGAGATACCCATACAATTTATGCCTACAACGAGGCTTGAAACCTAGACCTCCCACATAAGAGAGCGAGCAATCCGATACCGGTGGACCACAAGCCACTTGGTTTTGTTTTGTTTTTTCGGTGTCTATTGAAGATTGGAGGGTTTGAAATTTTTATTTTTAAATTTATAAATTGTTATCTACTTATCTTAAAATTAACTTAAAACTTTTGATTTGATTTTGATGTGATAAAAAATGTGAAATTAAAAGATTTGATGGGATTTAATTTTTGACTATGAAATGAAAACTTATTATGTGACCACCACTTACTTAATTAGCTAGGGTGCCGCGCCATTAGTGGCTAGCTAAATGATTGTCAACATTGATTAGGCGATGTCGTATGAATTCTTGCAACTAAAAATTTAAAGAATCAAACGTTTATCACACATTTTAATTTCATTAAACGATTATAATTTATTTTTATTTGAGTTAATCAAAACAATCAATATCTTCTTTCTGTTTCCTCGACGTATTACATGTTAGCCTGCCATCAGCCTGCGCCAGGATCGCGAAAGTGGAGCAACATCTGGAACCCGAAGATCCCAAGCAGAATCCAGTTCTTCCTTTGGTTAGTTAGACATAATAGAATAATGTCAAACGAGAACAGAGCCAAGAGCCAAGAGAGGCTTTACACACAATGACAAGTGTGACCTCTGCTGCGACGTGGTAGAATCAACCGAGCATATCCTACGAACATGCCCAGTCGCTAGACAAATTTGGGATGCTCTAGTGCCTACCTTGGATAACAGTACACGGAGCTTGCCCTTTGTGGAGTGGTTTGATGCAGGGGTGGAACGCTGGAGATGCAACAGACGCAAGCATAACAATAGGACTACTTTTGCTGTCGCCTTGTGGTGGCTTTGGAAATGGAGAAATGACAGAATCTTCAATGGCAAGAACTATGAGACCACCCAAAAGATTTACTGGATTGATATGCAAGCAAAAGAGATTAATGAGGCATTTGACAAGAATGAGAGGTTCGGTTCAAGGACACCAACGAGAAGCTGGAGGCTATTCAAATGGTCAAAACCCCCCACCAGGGTGGGTAAAGATCAACATAGATGGATGCCACAACCCCAGCACGAACCAAGCTGGGTGTGGGGGTTTGATTAGAGATGAGAAAGGCTCTTGGATTAGAGGATTTTCGTACTCTGTAGGGGCCTGTTCAATTGAGGCTGCCGAAGTCTAGGCGCTGTTAAAAGGGATCCAGCTAGCAAATGCACTTGGATTGAAGAAGGTATGCTTCGAAAGTGACGCATTGAGCGTGGTAAATGATGTGAACCGGAACGAGAGAACTGGCAGTATCACAAATAACATCATTCATGCATGTAAACGTGAGCTTAGGAGGATCCCGGCATGGGTGGTATCGTATGTGCCAAGGGAACAAAACGCCGCAGCAGACTGCCTGGCCAAAACAGCTGGGTCAACCACAGGCCTAAGAATCTTAGAAACCTCACCGGACTTACTCGAACAGACCCTTGAGGAGGACAGAGTTGGCATACCAATCTGGCGCCAACTAGACAGCTCTCTTTTGTAATTTCCTTGGGTAATCCCCTTCCATAAATTCCAAAAAATCAATATCTTCTTTCTGTATTTATACATATACATAGCATATCAAAGTTTCATGGTTATGGAGTTGAGCATGCAGTGAGATCCAACCAAGTTAATTAGTCAGTTGACTTAGTAACTACGATTTCAAGTTCAACTCTATGAACAATCTCGGGTAACAATTACCAAACTTTCTTTTAAATCAAAGAGTCTAGCATGTAGTGACTAATTTCCTCGTTGAATTGTATGCACCTCTATTGAGTGTGACAGTTACCTGTAGATTTAAGGTTGCTCTATATCCAAAGTCAAAGATCGAACCCTGACATTTGGTTAATGATGGATTAGTCTCTTTCACTCAACCACACACCCCATGTTAGATTATCTAAAATGTAGTGTATTTCAACTGAAAAGTTGCAAATGTCATTTGGTCTTCTCTGAAATGCATGCGCATCTGATTACATATTTATATGGGATGGATGGATAAAATGGAAGTAAACTACATTAACAACATTGTAAACGGATAGTTCCCTGCCTCATGATGGCAAGATCAGACTTACTAGAAAAGCTTTGGACCCGTGTTTCTGAATCAGAAAAAGTAAAGAGGGTTGAAAAAGTATGGGAAGGGTGGAGGGATCCCTTTGTTGTTACTTGTAAGGGAGAATCTGAGATTCTGGGTAGGAAAAGTAAGCATTGGAATTGGATGTGTTATTCTTGGAAAGTGGCACTGCTTTAATTTGTTGGTGTTTGGGAGTGAGTGCGTTCAACTTCCGATTTCTGCTATGCTCTGTAAGGCTGGTCTCCATTGCCCCCCACCATGATGCCTCCCCACACTTGTAATGCCAGTGCTAGTGCTGCTGCTGCTATTGCCGCTACTTCCCAGATGGTAAGCCTCGTGTTCCGCCTGAAAAGAAACACAAAGAAGTAAATCTCGAGATGTGTTTCATAGGTATACTGATTCTCTTGGATGTCAACAAAGCAAAGTTATCAACTTTTTTTGAATTGGTCAACCAGTTGAGCTATGATCCGAGACGAATGATGCATTGTCAATTTTTATGACAATTGCCTTAATATATGCTTGCAATCAAAATGAATTGTCAATGACCCATCACTATTTTAATTCATAAAACAAACAGAAGCAAAATTGAATCTTCAACTACCACTCCAAAGGGCTGAAAAAGCAAAAACAGATGACATACTGACACTTGAACTAACCCTTTTTACCTTGTGGTCAAAAACTTGATCTGTTGTTTAGCATCAAGAGACATTAATAAAGTAATATTTTCCATCATATATAATTTTTCATTTGGCGTACCAACCTCTCGAGAGGATCAGAGGTCAGCCAAATTAGGCCACAAATTAATACAGACAGAATTTTTTAAGTGTCAAAAGTCAAAACCTGTTGGGGATTGAAAATGATTCATGATCTGAATAATTAGTAAACAATAATATAGAAACCAACTGAGAATTGGGCTGATGAATGCCTTTTCACAAATAGAAAACAAATATTGTTAGAGAAAGTAATTTAAGCTCCAAACCAACCAAATATTCCCGGGAGAACTCATATTTTCTGTTTGGATTTGAAATTAATAGTTTAAAGTGCCCATGTGATTTCCTTTATGAATGACAAGTGAAAATTCTGTTCAGAGCAGTATATGTCAACTATATATCAAGAGAAACCAGCATACAAAACTGTCACAATTAAATGTTCCCATCAGAACTATAAATAAGCTCTAGTTCAGATTCTAGGAATTATAATTGATATCCAATTATTAATACTCTATAGTTTAATAACATCTAGAAGTAATAAAACAAATTTTGAAGAACCACATTTTCTCTGGGTTAGTGGTGACCCAATCACTATATAGCAAGATTTCAGAGCTGATCATGATTTCCACTCACATGGCTTCAATAATTTGTTTGGGGAAATAATCAAGATACTGTAACAAGCATTTTTCCTCTTATCATGGGCCATTGACATTATTCTTTTTTTTTTTTTTTTTGAAAGCACCATTCACATTATTCTTGGAAAATAAAAAGAACAAAAAAGAGGTCACCCCAGATAAGTTAATTGAACTATTAGTTTTATAACCACATAGTTTCAGGTTTGACTTTCGATAAAAACATCTTAGCTATGAACAACATAGATTTATCACCCAAATATTTATTAAAAAAAAAACATAAACATAAACATCACACAGCAACTCATACTAAGTCCCATAAGCATCTCTAACTAGACGGAAATCCACTTAAAAAAGAGAAAAGCAGCAACCCAAGACAATCTTTTATGCTTTGGAATTTGTTAATTAAAGTAAAGCCAGATTCTTTACTCCATCTAATTCTGGGATCACCATCTCGATCTCCCCAGGTTGGAAGATCTACTTGTGTTTCCATCATTTCGTTTAGCGCACTCAAACATTTTAGATCATAAAGATACTTCGAATCATAAATATACATACCCAGAAAAACCAAAAGCTTATTCCAATATAGGTGTCTCAAAGTATCACTTCAACTTTTGTACCATACTACAGCCAACAAGAACATTTTAAATCTTGTAATAAGACTTTATTACATAAAAGATCCAATATTTAGTTTAATTTTCATGTCCAAAAAAAAAAAAAAAAAGAAAAACACAAATTAAAGGTTGCTAATATTACGTAAATGATAAGTTAATAGTGTAATTATTAAGTAGGAAATGGTTGTAGTGAATACTGAAGGAACGATTGGAGAGTTTACCTTGGCCACCCTTGGTTTCGGATTCGGAGCCGGAGCATCCGAGTTTCTTTTCGGGTCGAGGCCAAGTCGGGCGCTTTCCTTCAACAACTTCCCGAGTTTCACGCACTTCTTGGCAGCAAATTCCTTGAGAACGTCTGCGAAACAAAGCGTGAATAGGGGAGGAGAATTCAAAGTTGAATTTCATTTGAATCGGTTACAGATTGAGTAGCGAACCTTCGAAGCTGACGAGACGATAAACCTGCCCGATGAGCAAAGTATCGGCGGGCCGGAGAAGCTTGAGCTGCTTTACCGGGGCGCCGTTCTCCGTCCTGTCCGTCGGAGAGCTGATGACGAGGGCGACGTAGTGGCCAGGGTTAGAACTCATGACGTCGTGAGCACTGATCGACCAGTAAATCCTCTCCACTTTGTTACCGGGATGTTGAATCACCACCGTCGCCGCCTCCGCCGCCTGGCAATTCCCCATTCTCACAGTGAGGACTCACAGTTCGTTCTGTGCGCGTTAATACGCTGTAGTTGAAAAGCGAGAAATGACAAAGAGATCAACCAATCTATCTAGATATTCATATTCCCAGATTTCGAGAAACTTTGATTAACTATTGTAGAAAGTGGAAGATGGAAGAAGATGTGATGTAATGGTGAAGAAAGCAGTGCACGCAGGTATAAATGAAGTGCGTAAGTGCGTGTTGAAGAAGCAAAAATGGCATGCATATATCTATATGCTTTTTATTAGAGGGAATGAAGACGAGGGAGGGAGACGTAAGGTAGAGTTTTAGATCTGCCAAACTACCTTCTTCGTCCTATAGGCTATAGTCATATATCACACCAGCTGATCGAGGACCTGTTAGCTATATAGTAAATTCAACTTTTCTACTTCTTTAAATTATATATATATAACTTTTAAGATAGATATGAGATTGAGACTCACTTTTGAAAGTGTGTTGAAGTTGCGGGGATATACTGAAAATAGTAAGGAATTGAAATTACAAATTAAGGATATAAAAGTATGATTCATTTTTAAAAGTGAGATACTCTTGAAGGGATAAGAATAGCTTAATATGATGCATACAAATAATATGATAATAAATTTACTCAACCAAAAAGCTTTGACTAAATTTAGACGGTAAATATTCCTGCAATAGGAGTTATTGCAATTTTATGTAACAATTTGGTAATAAATTTTCTCTGGCTTTTTTGTCATTTTCTTTGTCTCTTGTTGATTTTTTTCTTAATATTTTTACTTCTTCTTAATCTCAATTTACATCATATTCCTTATCTTATGTATGATGAAAGATTATTAATGTTCGAACAGTCTTAGGTAATAATGTCAAAGCACATGGCAGCAATGATGCATCATATCATGTCATTCTACATAGCAGATACATGATTCAAGTTATACCAATAATATAATTATTTAAAAAAAAAAAAGTTATACCAATAATCATAAAAGACAAGTAATTATACTTTGTAGTTTGTAGATATTAGTGTGCAAATATTTGAGGGTATATAGGTCAATTAAGACACATTCCTCAATTTACCTTGCATGCTAGTTTATATGGTACTAGCGGTAAAAGATCCTCAAACTTGAGATTCAAACTTTAGATATGATTATGGTTACATGCAATAATTGTAAGACAATGTGTGCGTATGGTATATTATAAGCAAAAAAAAGAATCAGGAATGAACCGTTACACCTAAATCCTAAGTTGTCACGTCAGAGCACCCAAAACATCAAGTCAGAGTTATGACTGAGCACGATTTCTCTTACAATGAATTCTGTCTGAAATTTGCAAGAAAATTAGTACATTTATTATCCTCTATAAGAACACTAAAGGGGCGTTTGGTTCAGGTTATATAACATAACCAAGGAAATGTGACATTCCAAAGCTCACATTCCGGTGTTTGGTTCATATTATCTTAGGGAACCTAACATTCCCAAGGAATGTCACATTCCTTCCACATAGGATTTTGAAGGGAATGTGATTCCCTTCAAAATCTTAGGTAATGTAAGATAACCTTGGTTATGTTAGTTTATTATATATATATATATATATATATATATATATATATATATATATATATATATATAATTATTTTTGTAATTATACATATTTTTTATTTTTATTATGTTATGTTAGCATATAAAATAATTTTGTTTCTCAAGTTCAATATTTTAGTTAATATTTTAAAATAATGTAATTATATATGATACCGTTATCTTATTTATTTATTTTAATTTTTAAATTTATTAAAATATATGAAAATATATTAAGGATATTATAGTGTGTATAAAAGATAACCCTAAACCAAACATCATTATATTATATAACCCAATTTTAACCAAACACAGGAATCTAACATTCCTAGCAATCTAACATTCCCTAAGGTAATCTGACATTCCGTGAACCAAACGACCCCTAAGGGTGTGTTTAGTTAAGGTTTTACACACTAGGAATGTGAATCCAAATCATAATTAGTGTTTGGTTGACAACTTTTTAAAACATAACTAGTATTTTCACCCGTGCGATGCACAGAATGGAATTGTTGTAATATATTAAGAATATTTAAATTGATATATAATTATTTAAGAGTTAATTTCACCCGAGGTCGTTTATCTTTCCTGACAATTCCAAATTTAATCCTAGACTATAGTTATTAATTATTACAATTTATTCTATGTTACAACTCTTACGTTAATATTCTTACTATTATTATTAACACTTAATTACTTTTAGATATTATTATTACCACTTATATTATTATATTATTATTATTATTATTAGTTTCTTTTCAAGTACTGTTAGTATATAATGGTCATGAGGCACAATAATAATATAACCATAATTAAATATTTTTGTATTGTATTCCGGAGTTAATGCCATTTTTGTCCTAGACTTATTGAGGCATTGACACTTTTCATCCTCCATAATAAAAATTGCCACTTAGTAGACACTGTTATTGGTCGTTGGACAGTTTTGATCCTCCGTCAATGAAGCCGTTTGTTGACCGTGAATTAGAAGGGCTTTTCTGTCTTTTTATGTCTTATTCTTCTAATCTTGTTTAGACCAGCGCTGCTGTGACTCCTGTGAGGCGAGATGGCGAGACTTGGCGGCTAAGTAGTAACCGTCGATAGTGAGTAGCAGCGAGGTTCTTCTCCGGCGAGTTGGGGTACGGCGGCGAGCATACGAGGCAGTAACTCCTTCCGACGACGGACCAGTAAGGCATATCTGGCGGTGCAGCAACAGATTCGGCGAGGTTGGGGCCTTCACCGGTGGTTTTTGGTTCCGGCGAAGCAGAGAGGGTAGCAGGTCGGCGAACCCTCCTATGGTAAATAGCAGTTGTAGTTGTAGATGGCGTGATGTAGAATTTGCACCTGTAAGTCCTCCCTTCCATATTGACTACAAATATCCTTCCCATCTCTCTCTCTCTCTCTGACCACAACTACTTGGTGCACAACCTCAAAAACTCTGTTATTCTACCTGAAATTCATTGAAGTTTCAAGCTGAAAATGTGGAATCCGCCGCTCCCCAAAAATCGCATTGTCTGAGGTGTTGGAATGGCCGGTGTTGACTTCCTGGCTGCTGTAGCTTCATTCCCCAACCCGGATGATAAAATTCGGAGCACCAGCTTTGAGGTTCAAGGAGGCGGTAACACTGGCAATGCTTTGATAAAACCCGGATGATAAAATTCGTCTTGGTCTTAATCCAAGGATCATATCTAAGGTTGCTGATGACTCGCATGGTGAAAGAATACTTGATGAGCTTGAAAGGGATGGTGTTGATACATCTTTTATGGTGGTGTCCAAAGGAGGAAACTCACCATTCACATATGTCATTGTTAACAACCAAAAAAAAAAAAAAAAAAAAAAAAAAAAAAAACTCGCACGTGCATTTTCACTCCAGGATATCCACCCATGATATCTGAGGGTCTACATACCCAAATCAAAATTGTCTTCAGAGCTTGGAGTAAATATTGTCTACTTAGATGGAAGGCTGCATGAGACTGCTTTGATTGTAGTGCAGGAGGCAAAGAGTAGGGGCATACCTATTATGTTGGGTGATATTCCTGACTTTGCTAGTTATGTTGTATGCTCGACAAAATTTCCACAGGCATGGACTAACGCCCTTTCTAATCCAACTGCACTTGTTTCCATTATCTTGAGATTGATGTCAAATGTAAAATTCGTGATTGTTAGTTGGATGAAGATGGTTTCTTAATGTTAGAAAGGACTGAAGCGGATAACCTCAGTTTGAAGAAATGGATGTAGCAGTGACCAATGGATGGAGAAATACAAGGATTAGAACATAAAAAGACAGAAAAACCCTTCTAATTCACGGTCAACAAACGGCGTCATTGACGGAGGATCAAAACTGTCCAACGATCAATAACAGTGGCTACTAAGTGGCAATTTTTATTATGGAGGATGAAAATTGTCAATGCCCCAATAAGTCTAGGATAAAAAATGGCATTAACTCATGTATTCCATGAGTCACAATAATAATATAACAATAATTAAATATTGTTCAATTCTATATTCTTCTAGGATTTCTATAACCATCATTAATTATTCCCAAATTTACCATAATTAAATAATTTGACCAATTATAAAGAAAAAATATTAAATAATGCACGAGACAATTGTTTAATTAAAAATTTTAAAAATTCATTAATAAAACATAAGGTTCTCATATTTTTTCTTAGAAACTCTTTAATAAAGTTTTTTTTTTCTAGAAATTGGTGGGCCAAACCGCCTACGGCAGTTTACGGTGGATAGATCTCAAAAAAATACGCGATTTTAAAAAAACATTTGTCCAAAACGGACAACGGAGTCAAAAGTTATGCCTTGCCGAACTTTTGACACTTTACAACTTAAAAAATAAATTAAAAAATTAAAGGCCGGTTCAGCCAGCGAGGCGGCCGCTGAGGAGGCCGATTCCGGCCTTCCTCGCCGCGGCCAGCGACACGATTTTTACAACACAGATATATAAAATAGATATAGATTAGAATAGGAATCGTATTACACAATTTTATAATATTACAATAAAATTTTAACCCAGAATTATTGTAAAAATCAATATATTTTATTACGAAGAGAGATTTTTTTTAGGAATTGGGCTAGAAGTTAAAATTTCAGGATTTTGTTTTTATATATATATAGATATAGATTGTATTACACTATTTTATAATATTAGAATAGAATTTAAACGCAGAATTATTGTACGAATGAGAATGTAGAAATCAATATATTTTATTAGGAAAAGAGATTTTTTAGGAATTGGGCGGGAAGTTAAAATTTCAGAATTTTGTTTATATATATATAATATAGATTGTATTACACTATTTTATAATATTAGAATAGAATTTTAACGCAGAATTATTGTACGAATGGGAAAGTAGAAATCAATATATTTTATTACGAAGAGAGATTTTTTAGGAATTGGGCGGGAAAAGTTAAAATTTCAGGATTTTGTTTTTATATATAGTTGATAGCGTAAATTGAACCGGGGGTTACGGTTACACTACGAATACGTATGTTTGTGAACGAGTAGAATGAAGCGCTCGACGGTCAGCCGGTCGGTCGGTCGGACTACCGGGCGACGACTGAGCGGTCCGAGGCTAAGTAGTATTGCAACTAGTAAGTAATAGGTTACAAGCGGGTTGCTATTATATGATGAAGGGTACAAGTAGTGAGTAGTAGTTACAATGAGATGAAGATGATGATCCCCGAAGTGAGGGGTGAGACCCTCCTATTTATACTTAACTAAGTCGGTCTACGCATTTAATGCGCCTGCTGCATG